ACACACACACACACACACACACACACACACACACACACACACTGGTACTCTGTATGAATCCCATTAATCAACAGCTCTGTTGTGTTCAGTCCACATTTCTCTTCCTGATTCCAGCAGAAAATGACTTCATGCAGCACTAATGTAAACATGTCTGATAGGCTACAGCTACACAGGATGATATTTTTGAGGATGCTTAATGGCTCCATGTCCTCCTCTTGGGTCTTAATTATTTTTCCTCTCTGACTCTGCAGGCACCCTCCAACTTTCCATAACAGCCCATTTATCATCCTGTCATCTGCCACAAGTGGTGAGGTGATTGTGTTGTTTACATGTGACCTCGGTACCTTTAGCCCGCTGACAGCTCGCCACAAAACACGTGGTCTGCATCTGCTCGCTTGGATTTAAAAGGGGGGGCTTTTATCCAGAACTGCTCGGCACGTACAAAGAATGAATGCAGAGAGAACAAACTGTAGCAGGTAGKTTTTTTTTACATTTTATGTGGAGCTAAAACAAAGGCTGAAGGTCAGTGGTAAACTGCACCTGTTGGATTGATTGTMGTGAAAGAGTTGTGTATCTGGGTAAATCCCCAGTGGTGTCTCAGAGCTCACATGGCTCCATCCTGTCAGAATGTGACATGCAGGCAGTATTATGTTGGATTAAACTTCCAGATTGAGTTACCTGAGTGTGTTTATTGCCTCTTTACATAATACTGACCAGCTGGCCATCACTGTTCCCTTAAAACACACTTTTGGGACACTCTGTCACCGCTGGAGACGTGTGACATTGAAAAAACTTAACAACTCAGCTATGCAATCCGTTCGGAAAAATGTTTACTTATTTATTATTTATGTTAAATATAAAACAAAGCATTTTGCCAGAATTTGTGAGGAAGAAGACGACATACAGCACGTCATCAAAGTATGATAAAAAAGCAAAAAGCAAAGCAATTTCAGACAATTTGAACATGTTACCTTCGATTATTTATGAATATGAGTTTTAGATTACTTTATGCATCTGATAATCCAGAGAGAAGAGTTTAAATGTTATTTTTATTATGATTTTCTAATTCCAACTCTTTAATACTGAAGCATATGAAGTAGTAAGAAATGTGTTAGTAATGTGACTAAAAGCATAAAATAAAAAACAAGTGAAACACACAAAAATAGACACTTTAATATGATTTTAACTCAGCCTTTRTCTACAGCAGCACCACTCCGCACCTTCTGAATACAGACTCAAAACGATACCATAGAAACTTCTAGAATATTCTACATAACATACAAATCAATAATTCCCCCCTCTTTTTTTTYCTCTTTAGAAATGTATGTTTTTATCTTAGGAAAGTAAACTGTGTAGTCTGTGAATCAATAGGAGCCTGTTTACGTGCTGATGTGCACGCCTCTCATGTGTTCATGACTGAAGAGCTGAAACAGGTTGAACACAATTTAAACTTTACGGAGTGTCTTTTTGTTTACTTGGTTAAATCCCATAAAAATAACAATGACATCATTGATACAACATAAAATTCATATTATACCTTCGGGGAGCAGCRGCTGTATTTGTTTTTGGTGTTGGGTTGAGAAGTCCTCCGTTAAACGAGGAGCCAATCAGAATGCAGAGGAAGCGGCGCGGGGAACCAATCACAGAGCTGTTCTCATCGGTCTCCGATTGGCTGCTGATGCTGAATCAAACAGTGCACGAGCAACAGGAATATAACCGGAAGTTAAGTGTTTTAACAAGAAATTAAAGGTTTACGGACACATGCGTATCAAAAATGTCTACACACATTTAAAACATCTGGATTAATAATAAACATTTCTCACGTATCAGACTACATGTAAAAAATAGGGACTATTTTGCTTCCAAAAGTTAGGATCTTCAAATAGCAACCCAATTCATGTCACATAAAATAACCTCTTAAGTTTTGACCCACCAACAGAGCTGTAAAGTAACTAAGTACAAATACTTTGTTACTGTACTTAAGTAGAATTTTTGGGTATATGTCCTTTACTTGAGTAATTTTTTCAGCATATTTTTTTACTTTTATTTATTACATTTTTACACAATTATCTGTACTTTCTACTCAATACATTCATTAAAAAAAGTAAAAAGTAGAAAGTCGTTACTCCTATTTTATTCCGAGTTATTTCTTAAAAAATACTATCCTGATAAATAGTGTCTCCTGATACAGTGAATTTAATTGTGTTTGGATGAGAAGTATAAATATATACCATTCTGACACACTATTAGCTTGTACACAACCCATCACAGCTGCACGCTGTTAGAAAATATAGTTTTTGGAGAAGTCACCTCCCAATAAATGTCATTTTGTAAAATCTAACTGCTCACTTTTACTCAGTACTTTTACTTTTAATACTTAAGTAGGTTTTGTGTCAGAAATTTACTTTTGATACTTAAGTACAATATCAGATACTTTAAGACTTTTACTAAAGTAATACTTTTAGAGAAGACTTTAACTTTTACCAAAGTATTTTTATGATAAGATACTTGTACTTTTACTCAAGTATCACTTTGAGGTACATACAACACTRCCCACCAAGATGTTTTTAAACCACTGCTTAATAAAAAAACAGATTTTTTTTTATTTTTACTTTACTGACCATTTGAGCTTCCACAAGTCATGACATATACAGAATTACTAACTGATGCAAAAGAAAGTAAAAAGGTTGTACAACTTTTTTTTAAAATGCATTCCTGACCCTTCAAACCAGCGAAGATTATTTTACTTTGAAAGTCCCTAACCGGAACCACTTTGTTTAATAGCGGAAGGATACATGAATTTACAGGGTGGATCGCCGACTGACGCCTCTTCCCCAGTTTCAACTCTATCTTAGAGCTGTGTAGACTAGTAAGTCCACACGTTTGTTGAGAAGAGGTGTCCTCTGCTGTAGAAGCTGTAAGAAACACAAACAACCAGGAGAGCAGCTTATTTTAACAAGACTAGTTGACCGACTCGGTGAAGAAGGCGCAACAGTTATCCGAAGAAGAAAAAACAAAACAGAAAAATGGACGAAAAGGCGTTTACGAAAGAGCTCGATCAGTGGATTGAGCAGCTCAACGAATGTAAGCAGCTGTCAGAGGGACAAGTGAAGACKCTGTGTGAAAAGGTAAGATATTTTATATTATCTTTAAGTTACTGCCAGCGTCTCATCTTCCCTCCCCTCGCCTTCCAGACGTTTTTAAAATGGCGCCTTTAGTGTGGATTTCATCGAGGTGCGAGTTTTTATGTTTTATTAGCTTGTATTAGCAGCTGCCTACTGTAAATAAGGACTTATTAGYAAATTATTTATTTAATTGCTTCCTTTATTAACACAGGCACTGCGACACATCTGTAATTGTTTGGCTTCGGTACTAAAACGCTACTGTTTAATACTGAGATGTTGGTTTGCTGTGTTAGTTATAATAAAATGCATCRTCAGGGGTAAATGCAGTTTTAAACTGTGGCGTTTCCTTTTAGTGTTTTTCAGCTAAGAAAAATAAAAAATAAGACCAGAATTTCAATAAACCACTCAGCCAATCAGAGCGCTTCTCCCACTGATGATGTAAATAAAAGATGTCACCACGGGGATGTTGGTCCATCTTCCGCATCCAGCTTTGAGCTTAACGTGCTCGTCAGTAACAAATATGGTGCCTGAAGTTTGCACTTACTAAGAATATCTCATTGCATGCCTGCAGTGTGTGAGTGGGAAGCAGGTTGTGTAAAAATGTGCAAATATTTTGCTATCTGTTGCACATGTAGCATGTTTGCCATAGGCAAATGTGCCCAACCTTAAAACATACAAAGCTTTTTTTTTGTTTTAGTAAATAAAAATCATCAGCTGAATTAGTCTTGTCAATTATTACAAAAAACCCACAACAGGTAACTAATTATTATTATTTTTGTTTACACTTTTTTGGATGCTCTTTCCAGTTTAAAGGGTAACGTCTGGTAACCTTCTAGCAACTTCTAGTAGTTGCTTCAGACTGTGTAAAAAAACAACAACAAGGACAATGTTGCTTTGGCWTATAGTGGGTCAACTGATCCTGCAGACCTTGGTTTAAACTCCATCTCATAAACATCATTACAAATGATTTCCAACATTAGCTGATTGAGCTTATAGGGAAAAAAATCAGTAATGACCAGTTTTAAAGTGCCTGTGACATGCWTGTCCTTCGAATACAAAAAGTCAAAGAAAACAACTTTATATGTAAAACAAAACTTGGCATAACATAACGTAATTTCATCCCTTTTGAAATATGTACTATTGAACTTGGCTCAGCCGAAGTGAAACAGGAAGTGACTTAAAAGAGAAAGAAAACTCAGTTTTTTAAACAATATTATTTAAACTCGGACTGTTCTTTATCTCACGCTGATCTGTGACTCAAAATAATCTAAAAAAMCCACCAGATTCTTCTTTGTTGTCAGCCATTATAGCAATGCTCTGTTTATGTTGTCATCACTTCCTGTTATTCACATACAAAYATCTCAACAATGGTTCATCTCAGCAGCATGAAACCTTTTTTTTTGTAATTCTCAATGTTATTTTTCCAATTATGCATTCATATTTATTGAACCAATTTGATGTCACAGGCACCCTAAAAAGACTTGTGTGTCATGCCATTGTGCAGGTTATTATTAATACCTAATTTTCCTGTTTTGCATTGTTCACCCCTCAACTTGAATGAAATCACATTTTGCTAGTTTTTGGTGGTTTTGTGCTCCCCTTCAGTTTTTTATTTTTATAATTCAGACTTGTYTTCTCAAATAGAGTTTGAGGGGTTTAAATTCAGTTTTAAAATGGCTCCTTACAGTTTATTCTGTCACGTACTTATTACATTTGGACGGCTGTGAGCTGAAGGTTAAGTATAATCTTAAGTGGCTCATTAATCTCTACGTGTTTTATAGTGGTGTAATAAAATATCGATACACTGAAATATCGTGATATTTCATTTTCCGTTACTGTATCGATATTCTAAAGCCCTGTATCGATTTTTTTATTAAGGTTTAAAATGTCATCTTTCCTGCCAGCTGTTCATTTTTATGTTRTAGTTCAGCCTCTGACCACTAGTTGGCAGCAGTGAGCCAGACATTTGGCTCCTCTACCTCTTGAACGCCAGAGAGTAAGGGTAGCATTAGTAAGTAAACATTACCTTCATGCTCTGATAGCTGAATCTGAGCGGAAAAGACCGACACCATCTGCCTTCTAGGGCTGTGTATTGGCAAGAATTTGGCGATACGATACATATCATAACAGAGGGGTCACGATACGATACATTCCGATATATTGC